ACAATACACAATACATGAACAACCCTCGTAATTTTTCAATTTTTTTTTTTTATGAGTAAAACAATATGCATTTCTTTATTTGTTGAGCAAAACTACCCATTGAAAGGTCTTATCACAATGAATACACATTGTGAAGTTTAAAAGTCCTCTAGCATCACGACTGTTCAAAAGTTATGGCCTAGGTTAATTTAAAAAGCCTGGTAATTTTTGGTTAAAGTGGGTTAAACTCCAAGATCAAGAGGTCATATTTGCTGGTATCCAAAACAAGAGGCCCATGGGCCACATCGCTCACCTGAATAACTTGGGTGATGCAGATCTATTTAAATGATTTGTTCTACATATATTTCTATGTAAAACTTGGATTCCCAATGTGGCCCCGCCCTATGCCCGAGGGTCATGATTTTAACAATTTAATATCTACACTACTCAAGGATGCTTCCACATAAGTTTCAGCTTTCCTGGCCTAGTGGTTCTTGAAAAGAAGATTTGTTCAATAAATCTCTATGTAAAACTTGGATTCCCTATTGTGGCCCCGCCCTATGCCCTAGGGTCATGATTTTAACAATTTAATATCTACTTTACTCAAGGATGCTTCCACATAAGTTTCAGCTTTCCTGGCCTAGTGGTTCTTGAAAAGAAGATTTTTAAAGATTTGTTCTATATTTCTAGGTAAAACTTGGATTCCCTATTGTGGCCCCGCCCTACCCCGGGGTTGTAATGATTTTAGATTAATATCTACACTACCCAAGGATGCTCCCACATAAGTTTCAGCTTTCCTGGCCCAGTGGTTCTTGAGAAGAAGATTTTTAAAGATTTGTTCTATATATTTCTAGGTAAAACTTGGATTCCCTATTGTGGCCCCGCCCTACCCCTGGTTATGTTTTTACAATTTAATATCTACAATACCCAGGAAATGCTTCCACAAAAGTTTCAGCTTTCCTGGCCCAGTGGTACGTGAGAAGAAGATTTTTAAAGATTTGTTCTTTATATTTTTATGTAAAACTTGGATTCCCTATTGTGGCCCCGCCCTACCCTCGGGGATCATGATTTTGAAAATTTTATATCTACACTACCAAAGAATGCTTCCACATAAGTTTCAGCTTTTCTGGCCCAGTGGTTCTTGAGAAAAAAATTTTTAATGATTTGTTCTATATATTTCTATGTAAAACTTGCATTCCCTATTGTTGCCCCGCCCTACCCCCGGGGGTCATGATTTTTACAACTTAATATCTACACTATCTAAGGATGCTTCCACTTAAGTTTCAGCTTTCCTGGCCAAGTGGTTCTTGAGAAGAAGATTTTTTAAAGATTTGTTCTATATATTTCTATGTAAAACTTGGATTCCCTATTGTGGCCCCGCCCTACCCCCGGGGGTCATGATTTTTACAATTTAATATCTACACTACCCAAGGATGCTTCCACATAAGTTTCAGCTTTCCTGGCCTAGTGGTTCTTGAGAAGAAGATTTTTAAAGATTTGTTCTATATATTTCTAGGTAAAACTTAGATTCCCTATTGTGGCCCCGCCCTACCCCCGGGGGTCATGATTTTAACAATTTAATATCTACACTACCCAAGGATGCTTCCACTTAAGTTTCAGCTTTCCTGGCCCAGTGGTTCTTGAGAAGAAGATTTTTAAGAATTTGTTCTATATATTTCTATGTAAAAGTTGGCTTTCCTATTGTGGCCCCGCCCTACCCCCGGGGGTCATGATTTTAACAATTTAATATTTACACTACCCAAGTATGCTCCCACATAAGTTTCAGCTTTCCTGGCCCAGTGGTTCTTGAGAAGAAGATTTTTAAAGATTTGTTCTATATATTTCTAGGTAAAACTTGGATTCACTATTGTGGCCCCGCCCTACCCCCGGGGGTCATGATTTTTACAATTTAATATGTACACTACCCAAGGATGCTTCCACATAAGTTTCAGCTTTTCTGGTCCAGTGGTTCTTGAGAAGAAGATTTTTAAAGATTTGTTCTATATATTTCTATGTAAAACTTGGATTCCCTATTGTTGCCCCGCCCTACCCCCGGGGGTCATGATTTTAACAATTTAATATCTACACTACCCCAGGATGCTTCCACATAAATTTCAGCTTTTCTGGCCCAGTGGTTCTTGAGAAGAAGATTTTTTAATGACCCCACCCTATTTTCGTATTTTCTTCATTATCTCCCCTTGGAAGGGGTCTTGGCCCTTGATTTTAACAATTTAAATTCCCCTTCACCCAAGGATGCTTTGTACCAAGTTTGGTTAAAATTGGCCCAGTGGTTCTTGAGAAGAAGTTGAAAATGTGAAAAGTTTACAGACGGACGGACGGACGGACGGACAGACAGACGGACGGACGGACGACGGACACCGGGTGATCAGAAAAGCTCACTTGAGCTTTCAGCTCAGGTGAGCTAAAAAATTTTGTCAAAAGGAATACACATACGAAATATGAATGCCATAGCCTCATCCACTCAAAAGAAATGGCAAATGTTAATGTTTTTGTTGATGAATAGACAAAGGGAAACAGACAGAGCAAAAACTATATACCCCTGAATCTTCAATCATGGGGGCATAAAAAGAATATACTAGTATGGTCCATATTTCTTATTCTTATTTAAATATTTTAAAAGAATTACAACAAGAAGCCCAGGGGCCATATCACTCACCTGAGCACTGGTCAGGAGAAAAAAAATTGAGTGACCATTGTGGCCCCACCCTACTCCTGGGGGGTCATGATTTGAACAAATTTGAATCTACACCACCTGGGGATGCTTTCAAATAAATATGATCAATCATAGCTTTACTGTTCTTAGGAAGATATTTTTTCCTATATATTCTTCTGTAAAACTTTGATCATTGCGGCCCAATCCTACCCAAAGGGGTCATGATTTGGACAAACTTGAATCTACACCACCTGCAGATGCTTCCATCTAAATATCACTAATAATGGCTTTTCAACTCTTGAGAAGAAAATTTTTGAAGATTTTTCCTATATATTCCTATGTAAAACTTTGATAGACCATTGTAGCCCCACCCTACCCCTGGGGCTCATGATTTAAACAAACTTTAATCTACACCACTTGAAGGTGCTTTCACATAAATATGACCAATCAGAGTATTACTGTTCTTGAGAAGATATTTAAAGATTTCCCCTATGTGTTCCTATGTTAAACACTGACCCTTCCCCCAGCATAGCCCCACCCTACCCCTGGGGGTCATGATTTGAACAAATTTGAATTTACACTACCTGAGGATGATTCCACATGAGTTTCATCTTTCCTGTCTCAATGGTTCTTGAGAAGAAGATTTTTAAAGATTTTTCCAATACATTCCTATGTAAAACTTTGATCGGCCATTTTGGCCCCACCCTACTCCCGGGAGTCATGATTTGAACAAACTTGAATCTACACTACTGAGGATGATTTCTCAGGAGTTTCATCTTTCCTGGCCCAGTGGTTCTTCAGAAGGAGATTTTAAAAGATTTTTCCTATATATTCCTATGTAAAACTTTGATTGGCCATTTTGGCCCCACCCTACCCCCGGGGGTCATGATTTGAACAAATTTGAATCTACACTACCTGAGGATGATTCCTTTAATTTTTCTCTAATTCATAATTATCTCCCCTTGGAAAAGGGCATGGCCCTTCATTTGAACAAACTTGAATCCCCTGTACCCAAGGATACTTTGTAGCAAGTTTGGTTGAAATTGGCCCAGTGGTTCTTGAGAAGAAGATGAAAATGTGAAAAGTTTACAACAACAACGACAACGACGACAACGACAGACAACGGACAAATTTTGGTCAGAAAAAGCTCACTTCAGCCTTTGGCTCAGGTGAGCTAAAAAGTTATAATTCAAACCTTGCAACTCAATTAGGCTAATATTACAAATAACTGTTCTCCTATCATCAACAAGAGATATATGCACATGTATTAAATATTTTACATGTACCTTGCCTGTGTCAACAACATATTTGATGTTGGGAATAGTCAGTGATGTCTCTGCCACATTAGTGGCTACAACACACAGCCTATAACCTTCTGGTGGTCGTTCAAACACCTATAGTGAAATAAAATTGAAATGTATTTAGTACATGTATAAATATTAATATAACAAGAGGTCCATGGGCCTTTTATACAGTTGGGGTCAATTACTTGAAAATGTAATTTTAAACCATAAGTTTCTGTCGAGACTGCAGCTCTACTGGTTTGTATTTATAATAAAGGAAGAGAGAAGTAGCAGTTGGATCATAAAACTGTAAAAAAGCAATAAATAAAACAAAGATCCTTAATTAAGTCTCTTTTTGTGGCAAGATTGCAATAAGACTACAACTGTAGGAGTAGCTTTTAATAAAATTTTACAGATTTTTCAATTTTAGTTACCATGGCAACATCGTTCATCAAAATCCAAAACACAAAACTGATAATTATATATCTCAGTGTAGTCTACTTGCATGCCGCATTATATTATAATCAGGCAAAAACTGTATTTGGAGTAGCATTTTGAAAGTATTTCCCAGAAATTTCTATTTTTAGTCACCAAGGCAACACTGTTCATCGAAATCAAAAACCGATATATAGAATTATGTATCTTTGTGAAATCTACTTGTGTGCCAAGCTATAATGAAATCAGACCGAAATTGTACGAGGAGTAGCATTTCAAAAGTATTTCACGGAAATTTCTCCTTTAAGTAACCATGGCAACACCATTCATCAAAATCAAAAACCAATTCACAGAATTATGTATCTTAGTGTATTCTACTTTTGTGCCAAGTTATATTGAAATCAGACAAAAACTAAAGGAGAAGTAGCATTTTGAAAAATTGTTTACAGGTAGACGGACAGCAGACGACGGACGCATTACTATTGCATTTAGCTCTTTTGGTCTATGACCAGTAGAGCTAAAAACTTTCAAATACATTTGTAATTCTTTTTCAATTACTTGCAACAATTACAATTACATTGATTTATACAAATGTAATTAGCTACTCTCAATTTAATTCTTTGAAAAATATGTAATAATTACTCAAATAAATACCTATCAATTTTTTTAAAGTAAGTACCTCCAAAATACCCTCCCAAGAGATTTTGCTGAAATTTTTACATAGCACAAAGAATGTGTTTAATAAACATGGAAATATGAACCAGACATTGAGGGTTATGTACAGAACCAGGGGGTCAAGATTTCTCTCCCCTTTCCAGTCACTCCAAAAATCATTATACAACAAATATTTTTACTCAAACAAAAATCATTATAAAATATGCATTTAATATTTTTTGAAATTATTTTCAATTTTTTTTTTATACTTTTAACTTATCTAATAATGAATTGTTTGAACAGAAATATATTACATATATGGAAATAGTGCTTATAAAACTTTTTACATTCAACAATGAAATTTAAATAATTATTTTCATGCAAACAAATTTGATACTTTTTGAAAAAAGATAGTGTTCAAAAGACGACTTTCAGATTTACAAGATATTTCCCTATTTGGGGTCAATCTGAGGTCAACAAGCATAAGACACCGTTTCCTCTCTTTACGAACTCTATGGGGCAATGTCTTACAAATAATATCCTTTTAAATATGCTTGTAATGTTTTTTTTTACGTTGCCCCATATTATGACAATTTATATAAGAAAAGTGTCAAACTTGTTTAATTAAAAGGTTTGAAAATATTTACAAGTAATTAAGCTACAAAGAAAATAGTGTGAAAAAATAAAGTATATATAAAATTTATTTTTGCAAAAAAAGAAATCTTTGCATAAATCAGTGGCATAGATAGAGTTCTGTTAAAGTGTTGAAGTTTTTTTGTTTGCTGCAAATTCAATGAAAGGCTGGTTGTCCTCCTTTCCTTATTGAAGAATATCAAATTCATAGTAATTTTTAGGTTCTTTTTTTTTTTTTTTTTTCGCTTAACAATGTGTTTTCAGGTTAAATTGTCAATCTATTTCTGGTTACCCCCCTTTCAAAAACAATACTATGTCCCTTTTTCCTCACTGTTCATTCCTCACTTTGTTTTACATATTTTGTTTGTGGGTACTCACCTTCACGAGTTTTTCAGTATGACTTTAATTGAGACTGCTGACATTTTTGTTTCCTCAACTTGTTTGTCAATAATTTACCTCATAGGGCTGGGCAAAAATATCGATATTTTGGATTGCAAAATGCAACAAAATAAGACGTAAACAACAAACAAAATGCAATATTTGCATTAGAATTAGGAAATAAATGTCTTCTAAATTGGTATTTGTGACAAATAATAATAAGTTAATCTGTAAATAATTATTTTTTCTAAAGGTGATCTTTACATTTTAAATTTGTATCAGTATAATAAAACAGTTACATGTATAGTATATCATTGAGGGAGTAAGCAAGATTCCAGTTCCCTGTGACCAGGACTATTTCCCAAGGTGCAGCACATTGTAGCTCCACCTTTATAAACACTGAGGGTCCAGGTATGAAGAAACTTGAATCCCCTTCATCAAAGGATACTTTGTAGAATTTTTGTTTGAAATGAACACAGAAAAGCTTTAGAATATTTAGCTTTTAAAACTTAATTATATTCATGGTCATGACTATTGCACCCATAATACCTTAAGTAAGATTGTTTGTAGGTACTCACCTTGACCTGTTTTTCAGTGGACAACAATGAAAACAAAGGGAGGACATACAGTGGTTCTGTACAGACTTCTTTGGAGTGACCCTCCTCTTCAGAATCCTGATTTTATAAAATTAAGATTATTATCATATTGCTATCAATGAAACAAATTTTCACAGAAAAAATAAGAAATGTAGCCTAAATTTCTTGATAGTTCTTTTCTCTTTTCACTTAAATAATGTAAGCAAATTATGTAAACAAGAAGTCTGTCAGCAAATGACCTGAAATAATTCAATATAGCCATAAAATTTCAAAAGTAAGATGCGCGTGCACATTGTCAAAATATCAAACAACGTTGTAAACAAGGGTTGCAAAAAGTAGCATGAAAACACTTATTCAAATGACCTACTTTTTTGGTTTACATCATCTCAAGACCCAAGATGCATCAACTGACAAAGTTTTGATGATTCTAAACCTATTATTTAATAAAACTTTGACCTGGTCATTCATCTGGAAAATGTAAGTCACATCCAGCATCTGAAGCAAGTGTGGTACATGTAGTGTCCATCCCTAGATGCATCATCCATCCAGCCAAGGGGCTTAACTCTGAGTGTTAAAAGTGTTTGACAAGTGACCAGGCAATTTTTTTCAAAATATGCAAACTCAGACTATCAGGTAGTATAGGTAGCTAGCTGTCAGTCAAATCAGAAGCTGTTTTTTGTTTAATGATTGACAGGCTGTAAATAATTAATCTTGAATCAGGTAGATTTTTAGGGCATTAATGTAAAACTGGGTGTTTAATGCATTGAGTTCGTCCTTTGATATCAAAGATGATCATAATAACATCTTGACTGTCTGTTTCCATGTTTTATTGTGAATGTGAAGATGGCTGATGAGTCCAATCTTCGCATGGAACGTCCTTCCACAAACTAGACAGGAAGGTCCAAGTGGAGTGTCAACAGATGCTTCTCTCTCTTTACACTTTGTACATTTTTTGTGCTGCCAGGTACATGATCTTTTCCTGGTACAGGTTTGCCCCCATCTTCATGCTTGAGTGCCAGGCATTGTGATCAAGTGCTAAGTTTTCCCATTTTGTAGGTTCTATATGGAACAGCTTTATGGACACTTTTAGGGAATTTTTGTATCATATTTTTCTGACGACCTCTGGAAAGTGTACCATTTACTAGCTTGCCGTATAGAAGCTGCTTCAGGAAGTGTGTGTCATGCATTCTACGCCGGCTATTTGTTTGTAAGATTGTATTCTAGTTCAAAACACGACGAATAAGCGTATATTACGCAAATTGTCAAATTTGTAAACTATGCATAACTCACTTGCTATATTTTATTTTGGCAAAGGTAAAAAGGTTTAACATTTGGTCATTAAACATGCACAGGGTTCCCCTTTATTAATAGCAAATATCACGTCATTTCGATCTCGCATTGTGCGATTATTCCTAAAAATAAACTAGAACTGTCCAAACGGGACAAAATACCCCCCGCCGGGTTTTTCAGAAGTAAGTTTTTCCATAATAAAGATATGTATCACATATGAATTATGAAATTTTTCTTCCAGTGACCATGACGTTCCTCAAATGACCTTGGGTCAAGGTCATGACACACCCTTGGGTCATGGGCAATCTTTGTGTGAAATGAGAATCTACCAAGTTTATCCATAAGAAAGATATGGACGGACACAAATTATGAATTTTACTTCCAGTGACCTTGAACTTCTCCAAATGACCTTGGGTCAAGGTCATGACACACCCTTAGGTCATGAGCAATCTTTGGGTGAAATGAGAACCTACCAAGTTTATCCATAAGAAAGGTATGGACCGGAGACGAATTATGAACTTTTTCTTCCGGTGACCTTGAACTTCCAAAAATGACCATGGGTCAAGGTCATAACACACCCCTGGGTCATGGGCAATCTTTGCATGAAATGAGAACCTACCAAGTTAATCCATAAAAAAGATGTAGACCAGACACGAATTATTAACTTTTTCTTCCAGTGACCTTGAACTTCCCCAAATGACCTTGGGTCAAGGTCATGACACACCCTTGGGACATGGGCAATCTTTGCATGAAATGAGAACCTACCAAGTTTATCTATAAAAAAGATGTATACCGGACACGAATTATAAACTTTTTCTTCCAGTGACCTTGAACTTCCCCAAATGACCTTGGGTCAAGGTCATGACACACCCTTGGGTCATGGGCAATCTTTGTGTGAAATGAGAACCTACCAAGTTTATCCGTAAGAAAGATATGGACCGGACACGAATTATGAACTTTTTCTTCTGGTGACCTTGAACTTCCCCAAATGACCTTGGGTGAAGGTCATGACACACCCTTAGGTCATGGGCAATCTTTGTGTGGAGTAGTAGATTATAATGTCCCTCCGTAAGAAAGATATGGACCGGACACGTTTGCACAGACAGACGGACAGACGGACAAGGTGATTCCTATATACCCCCCCCAAACTTCGTTTGCGGGGGGGTATAAAAATACCACGAAAACGTATATACCACGAAAACACATGACGGGACGGTACATGTTAAATATGGTACACTGTCCAGGTCTCACATGCATAAAGTTGAGTTGTCAGTACAACTGCTCTGTACACACTAAGCTTTGTTGTTAATGCATTTAGGGTGCAATCGTCTGTAAACAGAAAATTCTCAGTCTTTCAATGTGGACCTTGGTCTTTACTCTCAGACGCTGCAGACTGAAGACTCCCCCATCCGTACGACGTCTGATGTCAATGCCTGGATCATTTTCCGAGAAGGCATCTGTAAGCATAGCTGCGAACATCAAGCTGAACAACATTGGGGCAAGAACACAGCCTAGCTTGATACCATTCAAGACCTCAATAGGAACAGATTGATTCCCATCAAGAGCGTGGGCCTACATGCCATCATGAAATTGATGCACCATATTGATGAATCTTGGTGGATACCCAAATTTCCATAATTAACCATAAGCCTGTTCTCTTTACGGTTTCAAAAGCTTTTGCGAGGTCTATGGACATTGTGTATAGGCTGCTATTCTGTTTCTAACATTTTTACTCCTGGAAAGATTCTTGCCCATATACCTGGTAATTCTGAACAGATTTCTTTGCCACCTTGAAAATGGACTACAACCAGAGAGTCAGTATGGTTTACAGGCAGCAAATATCATGTCCACTGTTCAACAGCCTGAACAAACCCCATACTGACTCTCTGGTTGTAGCCCTTTTTCAAGGTGGTGAAGAAATCTGTTCAGAATTATATGGGCAAGAGTCTTTCCAGCAATGGGCAGGAGTGAGACTCCTCTGTGGTTGTCACAGAAATTTGTTGCCTTTATGTTTATAGAGTTGGACTATTGAGGCATCTTTTAATTCCTGTGGTAGGGTTTCATTTTTCCACATTGACTGGAAGAGTTTGGTCAATTTCTGAATCATCAGTGGTCCAGCAGATTAAAAAATCTCAGTTGGAATAGTGTCAGCTCCCAGAGCATTGCCTGTTGATATAGCTTTCACACTCTCTCTGGCAGATGGAGGGTCGTCAAGTGCTGTGTCTACTGGGATCTGAGGTTGTCGATTTATGGCATCATTGCTGATTGAAGATGGCCTGTTTAGAACCAAATTGAAATGCTCTGCCCACCTCAAGAATACGGGGCTTAATTGTCAGTTATAATTATGGTTCCATCAGCTGAGAGCAGTGTTGATGTACCAGTAGGCTGAGGTCCATACAGCATTCTTATGGCTTGATAAAAGCATTTGGAGTTGTGGGTGTCAGCATAACCCTGAATTTCTTCCGCCTTTTGGCTTAGCCATCTGTCTTTCATATGCCTTAGTTCGGTCTGCACACTCTGCTTCATTTGGTGAAGAACAGCTCTATTGGCTGGGGTCTTGTTTTAAAAGTTTTGCTTTAAGAGTCTGTACTTTTTCTTTAAGCAGTTTGTCTATGGCCTCGTTTTTTTCATTAAACCATTCCTGATGTGCATGGTCATTTTAGGACCTAGCGTGTCAAAACATCCAGAGTGTACAGTGTTCGTAAACTCTGCCCAGTCCTGCTCAATGTTTCCAGAGCACAGAGGCAATGACTCAAGTTTTTTGTCCAAAAGGTCCTCATAGAACTTGTCATCATATCATCAGGTTTGTCCTGGTTGGGGCATAGCAACTGTCAATTGGGCACTTCTCTTGCCTTTTTATTTCAGACCAATCGTCATACCGTAAATCTGGAAATTTTTACGTGGATTTATTTTTGCGAATTTGGGTCAAAAAGCTATTGCTTAAATTTTACGCTTCAAAATTTTGCAAATTGTCACTGGCGCTAAAAATCACTTAAGATTTTCATATCAGTTTATGTTTCAATTTAGTATGCACAGTTAGAATATCACTAACATACTCGCAACGTGGCAAGAAATTGCCGGATCGCTCCTAAACAATTTTGAAGATAAAAATACTAAAGGATTTGCACTGAAAATAACTTCTAAGTTAATAACAAACCTTTTAGAGGTTGTACAGTGAAACCTGTCTAATCCGACATGCACTGGGAGACAAATTTTGTGTCGGGATAGACAGGGTGTCGGATTGCACAGTGTTAAAAACATGGAAAATACTCAAATGGGAAAGAAATTTTACGTCGGAATTCACAGTGTGTCGGATTATTCAGGTGTCGGATTAGACGGTTTTCACTGTATATGCCTTTTAACCTAAAATATACTGTATACAGGGAAATTTTCGCCCCCGTTTTATTTTTGCCCCTTTCGCCCTCTCCTTGATTGGGCGAATTTAAAACGGGGCAAATTCAAATTACACCCCATAATTTCTTAAACAGAACTATGACTGGGCGAATTTAAGACGGGGCAAAATTGTTAACAAGTTCAAAAGGGCGAAAATAACACAGGGCGAAAATAACCCTGTATACAGTAATCCAAATAAAGACAAAAATATAATTAATTTTCTCAACGTTTGTTTTTTTCTCACATAATTTACATGCCGTGATTACATTTGGAACTCTCTAGTAAAAGCACTGAGCTCCAGTTATCACCCGTGTTGATACATGGTTGGATAAAAATAACTGGTCTCTCTATCTTGGCAAAATAATTACAAGAGGCCCATGGGCCTTATAGGTCACCTGAGCATTATGCAACAACTTTCCTGAGATTGAATTTGATTCAAGTTATAAGCCAGATGATATGGCATTCACAATTTTGAAAGAGGCACCATTGATCATCATAACAATACACTTAGCAGTTGCTTAGTTTGTTTACTTAATACCCATACCCAGGGTAGGGGAACAAAAAATGCATTTCAACTAATCAGTAATATTCAGCAATAATCTGTAGTGCCCCTACCACACATAAACCCCTGACCCTTAAGCCTTGATATTTGATTAATACCAAGGAGCAGATTTCAAACCACTCATTCATTTTCAGTATATAAGAACAGCCCCCCCTCTATGGTACCCCTGACCCTGGGGCCTTGAAATTCACAATTCTGGAAGATTAGGGCCCTTGTCCATCATAACTATATAGGTAGTTCATCTGCTTAATACCCTCGAGCAGAGAAGAAAATTTTCATAGAATTCATGTATTTTCACAATGTAATCAATAGAGCCCCGCCCTAACACCAGAAACCCTGACCCTGGGGCCATAAAATTCATAATTTTGGTAGAGGCACTCTTGCTTATCATAACTATGCACTTAGTTAGTTTATTTATTACCCAGGAGCAGAGAAGAAAATTTTCAAAGAATTCATGTATTTTCACTATATAATCAATATAGCCCCGCCCTAACACCAGAACCCCTGACCCTGGGGCCATAAAATTCACAATTTTGGTAGAGGCACTCTTGCTCATCATAACTATGTACTTAGTTAGTTTAATTAATACCCAGGAGCAGAGAAGAAAATTTTCAAAGAATTCATGTATTTTCACTATATAATCAATAGAGCCCCGCCCTAACACCAGAACCCCTGACCCTGGGGCCATAAACTTCACAATTTTGGTAGAGACACTCTTGCTCATCATAACTATGTACTTAGTTGGTTTATTTAATACCCAGGAGCAGAGAAGAAGATTTTCAAAGAAATAATGCATTTTCACTACCTACTTATTTAGCCCCGCCCTAGCACTAGAACCGCTGACCCCAGGGCCATGAATTTCACAATTTTGGCAGAGGACTCAATGCTGATTACAATCATACAAACAGTTTGACTGCTTGATGTCTAGGAGTAAAGAAGAAGATTTTTAAAGATAGCATTAATTTTAGTGGTTTTGGCCCCACCCCTCAGGCCCCAGGGGGGGCAGGGATCATGAAATTCATAATTTTTGTTCCCCTTCACCCATAGATGATTTGTGTCAAATTTGGTTGAAATTGGTTCAGTGGTTGCAGAGAAGAAGCTGAAAATGTTCAAATGTTAACGCACGACGCACATCGCACGACGCACGACGACGGACGAAAACGGATAGCAATAGGTCACCAGAGTTTACTCAGGTGACCTAAAAAAGGGACACACCGTCTCAGTGCTTGTCAAACCATCGGACGATATTGCATACAAAGAGGGCAATTTACACGCAAAGTTAATTAGCTTGTAGTTACAGTAGTATAAACAGGTTTCCTTTAAAAAATGACCAGTGCTTACCGATGCCTATTCACTGACTTAAAAATAGACACCAACTTTCTGAAGAAAAAAATTCTTTACATGTTGATTTATTTTTAAGAAAAATATTTTTGTGAATGCATTGCACGCGCAAATTTGCTAAAAAATTATCTACAGCAAAAATTTCCAGATTTATGGTAGCGCAATGGTTATTCCCTTTGGGTAACCATACATACACTCTCATCTGGTTCCTTGTCATCTAATAATTCCAGATCAGAATCACTTGTCAATTCTTGCTCTTCTTCTATAGCTACTGGATGTACAGAGTAACTGAAATCAAAAACATATAAGCCAAATACAATTTATTACAGGATTATATTTATTATATAATTAAAAGAACCTGACTTTATTTCATTGCAACTAAAACAGATTTAAAAATTTCAAATTAATATGACTGGCAATATTTATTTACTTTGTCTGCTTCTCTCTTTGCAATTTAAACTAGGACTTCAGCAAATGAAAACAAGTAATAAGTTGCATCATTTAAGAAATAAGATATCATTTTTTTTTAGAGTTTCATTGGGATATGACATGAAGTCGGTCACATAATCAAATTCTATAACGCCCAAAGGGTGACGACACAAAAAGCTGATTATTGAAGAATAGACGATAGAAAATCTACACAGTTACAGCCAGTAAAATATGCGTAACAAACAGGTTGGAATAAATATATAGTATATTTTTGCAAGAAAATTTGCCTTTTTGTTAAATACTCTTTTTTACAGAAAGTAAATAATTAGGATAACCATGCTGAAGTGCAACATGTGACTATGTCAATCACATGACTAATTAGTATAAACCAGTGTCATCTAACATATACATGTATCCCTAGAAGCTTTGTTTGCTAAGGCATAATAATGTGACTCCACCGTAAAACTTTTTCTTTGTATACAAAATTTAAATACCTGTCTAGATTTATTGTTGGAAATATGTCCCCTTTCTTCTTGTCAGCTTTTTTCCATTTCTGTTTCCTATTCTTCTTAATATTAGCATCTAAATTAAATTTTAAAATATGTAAACGCATACTCAAAACGTATTTTCCCTGCAATGTTATACTTTCCCATTTTTCCATTTGCTCACCATTTGTTTAAGGCCTAGAAAAAAAATATGTTTGTTTCCGCTTTCCCGACCGACCCTAATTTATAGTGCCGACCCTAAAATTTTTTTTATGCTTTAGTCCCATGAAGTGCAAGATTTCACCCAGGGAATCATAGTCTCCAATTTTGCAAGCTTTTCAAGACAAAAAGAAGTTTGAGTCACCTTTCTATTATAAGTTTAAGTCACAGAAATGCTTGAAAACACCATTTCTTTTGTCATTAATGTTACTTCTATACATGTTTTGATTAAAGAAGTAAAAAAAAAAAATTCCAAAAAAAAAAATGCCTACCTACCTACCCTATATTTTTTCAGCCTGAAAGCGGAAACAAACATATTTTTTTTCTAGGCCTAAGGTGTGTTCACCTTTTGCTCTCCAGTCAGTTATGTGTTCACATTGCCCTTGTATTCAACATTCACAAAACATTTACTTACCGTTCAGAATTTATTGTCATTCGGAACTCTAAAGTGTAAGGACTTATATTTTTGTAGGTAAGTCTTTACAGGTTTTTTTATGTAATACCTGGTAACTAATGTACAGTGTTAGAAGAATCATCATTTTGGAATACAAGATGTGTTTATGAAACACTGATGTCCCCATATGGCAACATAGCGAGATTTAAAATTTTCTCAAATGCAAATCAATCATGTTGTTACTCAAAGTAAGACCTTCTCACAAGGAATACAAATGAGAAATATAAAAGCCTAGCACCACCTGTTCAAAAGTTATGGTCAAGAAGTAGGTTAACTTTTTTAAAAAGTAGGTCAAACTCCAGGATCAAGGTCAAAGGGTCAAGGTTGTTGGTTTCTAAAGAAAACCCTTCTAATGGGTGTTGTCTTCATCCACTCGATTGACATTGTTTTAATGGTCCCTGAGAAGCTGAGAATCTTTACACAAAGATGGATGAAAAGAGAATTAATGGTAAACTAGTAAGAAACAGAGTAAAAACAATATGCTGTTAAACTTTGTTTCGTAGATGTTATATTCAGTGGTTGGTACACTGTATTTGCTATGGTATGGTACTGTAAATCACTTTTTATTCGCGAGAACTTTTGTCGGAATTACACGAGACAGTATGCTCGCGAAAATTTAATTCTCGCGTATATTAGTATTCCTTTGGATTATATTGAGCAAAAACCACCATTCGCGAAAATTTTGTCTTGCTAATCATGAGTCAATGACTATCTCGCAAAAATAAGGTGTCACGAAAATTGAGTGATCTACAGTACACTGTATTGGAGATATCAGTATTTTAGTTACTGAAGTTCTTTCTTTTCCTAAATTGGAGTAGGCTAGAACAAATGGTTTTGATAGTGGTTTTAATAACAATTTCATTCTAACCCCCCCCCCCTTGAAAAGGGGAAGGGTAATTAGTAATCGTTATGTCCGTTCGTCCGTATGTCTAGATGTCCATCTATCTGTTATGCTTTTGGGTACCCATCTCCTATTCGCAACTCCTCTCATACCACTGAATGAAATTTTATGAAACTTTCACAGAATCTTTATTACATATTGCCATTTTGCATCTCCTATTTTACTTTTTGATCTGACACATATTTTGGGTTTCCCATAGCAAAACATGGACATTGCCATTATATTCATATGGAAGGCTGGGGGTATCATTTAGTGAGCTCATTGCTCACAATACCTCTAGTTTATTCATAACAAGAGGCCCATGGGCCACATCGCTCACCTGAGCACCAAGGGTAGGACTAGTATAAAATGGCTTTTTATTGTAAAGTTTAAATCCAAAAGTAGTCCCATGACCAATCATGGATTTGCTATTTTTTAGAAAATGATTGAGAAGAAGATTTTTAAAGAATTTTCCTATATATTTCTATGTAAAACTTTGGTCGGCCATTTTGGCCCCGCCCTACCCCCGGGGGTCATGATTTGAACAAACTTGAATCTACACTACCTGAGCATGCTTCCATATAAATATGATGAATTATGGCTTTGTCATTCTTGAGAAGAAGATTTTTAAAGAATTTTCCTATATATTTCTATGTAAAACTTTGGTCGGCCATTTTGGCCCCCCCCTACCCCCGGGGGTCATGATTTGAACAAACTTGAATCTACACTACCTGAGGATGCTTCCATATAAATATGATGAATTATGGCTTGGTCATTCTTAAGAAGAAGATTTTTAAAGAATTTTCCTAAATATTTCTATGTAAAACTTTGGTCAGCCATTTTGGCCGCGCCCTACCCCTGGGGGTCATGATTTGAACAAACTTGAATCTACACTACATGAGGATGCTTCCCTATAAATATGATGAAATTTGGCTTGGTCATTCTTGAGAAGAAGATTTTTAAAGAATTTTCATATATATTTCTATGTAAAACTTTGGTTGGCCATTTTGGCCCCGCCCTACCCCCGGGGGTCATGATTTGAACAAACTTGAATCTACACTACCTGAGCATGCTTCCATATAAATATGATGAATTATGGCTTTGTCATTCTTGAGAAGAAGATTTTTAAAGAATTTTCCTATATATTTCTATGTAAAACTTTGGTCGGCCATTTTGGCCCCGCCCTACCCCCGGGGGTCATGATTTGAACAAACTTGAATCTACACTACCTGAGCATGCTTCCATATAAATATGATGAATTATGGCTTTGTCATTCTTGAGAAGAAGATTTTTAAAGAATTTTCCTATATATTTCTATGTAAAACTTTGGTCGGCCATTTTGGCCCCGCCCTTACCCGGGGGGTCATGATTTGAACAAACTTGAATCTACACTACATGAGCATGCTCCCATATAAATATGATGAATTATGGCTTTGTCATTCTTGAGAAGAAGATTTTTAAAGAATTTTCCTATATATTTCTATGTAAAACTTTGGTCAGCCATTTTGGCCCCGCCCTACCCCCGGGGGTCATGATTTGAACAAACTTGAATCTACACTACCTGAGCATGCATCCATATATATATGATGAACTATGGCTTTGTCATTCTTGAGAAGAAGATTTTTAAAGAATTTTCCTATAATTATATTTCTATGTAAAACTTTGGTTGGCCATTTTGGCCCCGCCCTACCCCCGGGGGTCATGATTTGAACAAACTTGAATCTACACTACCTGAGCATGCTTCCATATAAATATGATGAATTATGGCTTTGTCATTCTTGAGAAGAAGATTTTTAAAGAATTTTCCTATATATTTCTATGTAAAACTTTGGTCGGCCATTTTGGCCCCGCCCTACCCCCGGGGGTCATGATTTGAACAAACTTGAATCTACACTACCTGAGCATGCTTCCATATAAATATGATGAATTATGGCTTTGTCATTCTTGAGAAGAAGATTTTTAAAGAATTTTCCTATATATTTCTATGTAAAACTTTGGTCGGCCATTTTGGCCCCGCCCTTACCCGGGGGGTCATGATTTGAACAAACTTGAATCTACACTACATGAGCATGCTCCCATATAAATATGATGAATTATGGCTTTGTCATTCTTGAGAAGAAGATTTTTAAAGAATTTTCCTATATATTTCTATGTAAAACTTTGGTCGGCCATTTTGGCCCCGCCCTACCCCCGGGGGTCATGATTTGAACAAACTTGAATCTACACTACCTGAGGATCTTTCCCCATAAGTTTCATCTTTCCTGGCACAGTGGTTCTTGAGAAGAAGATTTTTAAAATATACCACTAAATTTTCATTAATTCCCAATTATCTCCCCTTGAATAAGGGCGTGGCCCTTCATTTGAACAAACTTGAATCCCCTTCACCCAAGGATACTTTGTGGCAAGTTTGGTTGAAATTGGCCCAGCGGTTCTTGAGAAGAAGTCGAAAATGTGAAAAGTTTACAGACAGACAGACGGACAGACGGACGCCAGACAAAATGTGATCAGAAAAGCTCACTTGAGCCTTCGGCTCAGGTGAGCTAAAAATCAATACCTTTGTGTGTGCCACTGACAGGAAAAGTGTTCTTCAGTTTTTTACAAAGTGTATATACTTCTTGTTGTCCCGTTACAAACACCAGTATTCCTCCACTAGGAAGCAGTCTGTGAATTTTGCAAATCTGAAATCAAGCAAAATAATAGCTATTCAATAAAACCTTCCTAAACTTGCAAAATCACCTCTTTACACCATAAGCTTATCATTACTAGTAAATTACTTACTACTTTTTTCTGCAATTATTCATAAATACATGTAAGGTGAAAATTTTTCATTTCGATGAAATAACCACCTAAACTGCTAGTCACATCTGACAATACAATACCACAAATAGATCTTCTTATTTACCACATA